AAGAGTGTCATTTTAAAATTAGTCTTTTCCTATAGGTTTTAATTTTAACTGACGTAAGATTCACAACAACAGTAATTTAACTGACTGGGCAAGAAGTCATTCAAGATGTGCAAAATGTATTACAATTTCTTGAGGGAAAGGATTAAGCTGAATAGAAACTGTTAGTCTCAAAAGATGGGAGGAATTGTGGTATAGGCAAAAAATAGATTTTAAACACAGCTAGGCTTTCTAGAACTAAAAAAAAAATAATCCAGAAAAATCGAGAGGGATAACTCCTATCTGTATTTAGATTATTCTACTGTACCATAATCAAGGTTCCTATGAAACTGAAAGTACACAAACAAATCATTCCTCGATCTGAAATAGATGCATCAGTTTAAGGTATCAAACAGCATTTCCATTAATGAAAGTCCAAGGCAAACAGTGCTGTAAGGAGAGGTATCTATTCAAAATGAAGGACGAAGAGATACACATTTTATTTTTAAGTCTCATTTATTTCATTTATTGAAGAAATTAAGATACATTAAATAGATTTTCTGCAATACCAGTTTGCATTACTAGCAAAGTTACATTCATGATAGCTAAAAACATAGCATTTTGTAACGATTTTCTGTTTCCGTTAGCAACTGCTGTATAAGAATGTCACATCTAAAACAATGCTAAAGTAGCCCTCACAACATCCCTGCGAGGTAGGTCAGTGTTACCCTCATTTTATATAAGGAAACTGCAGAACAGAAAGTTTCAGGTCAGTGTACCAGAAAAACTGTACAAGATTCAAATCTAGAGCTCCATTCCTTGTACTGTCTCTCTAGTGTCTTTCTCCTTTTCTGAAAAAGGAGAACAGCCCATAGTAGCTGTTCTCCTTTCCCTCCCTGCTTTCCTTTACATTGTACACTTTGATTTCTCCATTTAAGCTGATGAAAATTGATAAACATCAGCAATTTCTATCTCTGAACTATACAGATGAAGTTGAACAATTGAAGTTCAGAATTAAAGTAACTGAAAATAGACTGTGAGTAGTTACAGATAGCATCACTGCATTTAGTACTGGAGACAAGTCTGAATTTTGTCACTAAGCTGCAGAAGCAGTAGTACTAACATGGCTTTTCTAAAGCAGCTCTTTTGAGGAGGTAAAAGGACTTAGGACTGATGAAGCCTCATATCTGCAGGGAGTATCCCTGACAGACTGCCATAGGGAGGGGATGATTTGTGCAGCAATGCACATTCAGTGCAGTCAAGGTCTGCACCATGTTAGGTCCTTCAACTAAAAGAGACACCACACACAAAACCCCCTACTTTCCTTAGGGCAGACAATGAAGAAGGTTGTACTGCAGAGTAAATCACTTAACTGAGGTAGAATTTGAACAATTTAAAATGACACAACACATACCTGAATTGCTACAGGTGTTCTTTTCACCAAAATTGACAAGGGCATTACACTCATGTACACTGCATGGGCTAAAAGAACAAGTGTCTGAACAACACTGTGCAACAAAATGGCCTGCTTTTAAACACAGCATTTGCATTGTTATTTTCAATTAGTTATAAAATAGCATCTTAGATCAGTAACTTTAAAATACATACGTAGTTTTCATACCAGTGTCTACTTGAGGCAAATAATGAACTTTTTTCCAGTGCTAATCAAGCACACTGTTTGTGTCTGTAGACAGGAAGAATACCGTAAAAATCAATCTTTAAATCAGGCACGGCTCAGCAAATACTAACAAGAGATCAGTAAAGAAAATTTAAGTCCAACTTGTCCAAAATGCTTGACTGTTTCATCATGTATTAAATAAGAAAATTAGAAGTTGTGGACATCAGTAGTAGTAGATCACGACATAATTTCCCATTTTATATTAAGTGGGATTTCAATTTCATCTTAATTTTTAGAGTTTCATGTCTTGGAGAACGCTCTAGGTTTACTCAACTATCCCTCATTAAAAAAACGCTAGTTAAAAAGATCCCATTTCTCAAAAGAATGAGCAATTCAAAGATATAAAAATCAACAGATTGTCTCCCTTCACATACAGTGTTCATGGGAATGGCTATCTTGTGTGTTCCATGAGAAGTCTGAAGACCAGAGTTTATTTATAGTATCTCAGATGTGGAAGCGCGTGGATATCTCAGGGCCATTATCAGTTCTCTTCAGGCTTTGAAAGAAGCTCGAACGACTCTACCCTTAAGAGGCTGTGGGGGGCGAAAATTATTCACCATTTGGATCTTCTTGTCTTCCTCACTGGTGAAAAGGAGCATGCGGAATTTCTCCAGCTGTAAATTCAGATTAAATCATTTACTGCTTAAGAGGGCAATCAATATTAATGCTTTTTAAAAAGGACCAAAGGAAAGTATTCAGAACATTTTAATCTGTTAATAGAATAGGTTCAAGAAAAGACCCTAGAGAGTATTCACAGAAAAAAAATCAGAAGCCCTGATTATTGAACAGGCTGATTATTCACAGGCTAATGGTCTTTTATTTTAGCCCCATTGTAAATAAAAACAGTCACTGTCTGTTTATCCAGTGTTCAATCCTACAAGAAGGTGAGTATAAAAGAAAAGTTTACCTGTTTCTCAGAAACGCTGATGGGTTCTTTTAGCACTATCCATGTTACACTCTCATTAAGAGGTGGTGTTGTCAAAGAACCAAGGTATGTCCAATAATCTAGACTCAAAGGCAGGAGACATTTGGGGTTGAAGCTTCTAAATTGAGCTTTTGTTCCCTGGAAAAAAAAGTGATACTTGACATTTATCTTTTTAATTTTAACTGCAGGTTAAAGGACCCTTTTTGAAAGAAAATGCTAAAGTAATCTTAAAAAGTAGCGGCTGGGGAAAAAGGTTTGGCTGCCTTATAATAACTGTTTGTAAGTGCAGCATGGCAAGTGTTACACCTGCTGCTGCCTTACTGCACTTTGGGTTCTTGTCCTATTGCCTCTACCAAAATTCAGCTCTTGTCACGAATGGTCTAAAAAAAGAAAATGCAGGAAGTGTATTCTGTATATACAGTCTGGTATGAGCTATAGATACTATCATGGCAGTTAGTCTGCTAAGCCAAATACTGGCTTTAAAAATCAAATGTTCATGTCTAAAGTTAGAGGAAGGTGAATCAACTGAAGGACCAGTAGAAATAGGAGTTGCTGCCTTAAAGCAGTGATTGCCATAACTACCATAGTCTAGGACAAGACTTATCAGCCTGTAAGAGTGCCTGAAATACTTAGTCACTCAGAAAGCACTGTATAATTGTCTGTAAAAGTGCTCACAAGGAACAGAATGAACAGCTCATCCCTAGTAGCAAACCTGCAGACCTTCCGTCATTACAACTGAGGGATAACTCTTTCCTGCAAGTAGAAGAAATCGCTTCAACATCAAGTTGTTGTTTAGTGTGTTTACAGCCTCCATATTGCTGACTAGCTGCCTCCATTTCCTGTCTTTCACAAGCATACACACAGGAGCAAGAAATAACATGCCCATTCAATAGCCTCCTGTAGATCCAGAAAGGTTAGCATTTGTAGTGCTCAATCAGTCTGTACTTGGAAAAAGTACAGCAGGTATCAATCTTCAGCAAAGGTCTCAGATACATCCGTTTAAAGACCACCTTCAGCTATCGCTGTAAGATTAGACTAGCTCAGGACCTCAAAGTTGACCCCTGACTGAGCTTTGCAGCAGAAGACAGACAACCAGCTTTGACTTGTTCAAGGCTAGGCTCAATGGAAAATGATTATTTTGCTGAGTGTAAGAGCTGAGTCTGAAGGGTCATGCAGCTTTTGATTTTAGATACCCTGTGAAAGGTAGACCCTCTGAATGACCAGTGTGGTCAGCATAGCCTTGGGAGGCATCTGAGATTAGGCAAATCAGCTGAACTTCGGAGAGGAAGAAGACAATACAACTACAGTGATGTTCTAATGATATGAGCATTTATAGTGGGTGATTTTCCATTTTAGTCTCAAACATGAGTTTCATTTTTAAAGGGTATCCCATCAAACCAAATTTAAAGAGCTTAAAACTTACTTTAAATTTTACCATGTACAAAGCATCAGTGAGTCTGTTCATATTGGCATGTTCTTTCCCAGTCTAAAAATAATAAAATAGACAGGTCAAATAAGAATGACTATGATTATGCTTTGAATAGGTGTTGTTTTCTTATCCGAATTTCAACATTTCTACTAAAGTTTAACAGCAATTTACAATGAGTTACTGGTTCCAGTCAGTCATCTGTTTTCCTTAAGCACTTCTTAAATGCATGGCTTGGTTCTCAAACACTTGACAGCATAGTGCTTTTCATCATGTAAACATGCTATTTTTGCGATTCTTACCTCCAAGAACACACCAACTACTGCCAAGCCATCTGGAGCTGCTGCTGCTTCTCCAAATGTTGCATATTTTCTGGCATTCCAGTGAACTAAGTGGAGCTTTAAAGAAAAATAACAAATAAGAATTAAACAAATTAATGACAGAAGCCATGAACATAGGTTGTCTCATGTTAACAGACACTATTGGCTGTTCACAAGAGAATGTAGGTTTTGCTCCAAAGGTATCTTTGGAAAGATGAGCAAGTTCAATCTTTTGGACCAGTCCATAAGCATGGACAGACACTAAACAAAGTTTCTATATATCAGCCTTAATTTGAAATAAATCAGGTATTAACCTGTGACCCAACTTTCCTCTTAATGGCCTTCATCCCATGAAGCACTGTACTCCAATACTCACTGGTAGACTTCAGGATGCTACACAACCGTAGTACTTGGGATAGACATTTCTGGGAAAGGCCTGTGCACTATCCTGGCTTTGCAGAACCCTCTCAAGAGTGCCCAGATGAAGCCATTTCTAAGCCATGGATAGCACCAGCATGGTCTTTCAAAGGTTGTGATCTTCAGCTGAAGCCTAAGCTAACTGAGCTATACATGGCTTCTTAGCATCTTGTTTGTCAGTATATCCTTCCCACCTGCATAAGTAAAAGGATGCAATCAGTTGTGTGCAGGCAGCTAAACTGCACAGCAAAGGACTGTTAGAGGTGCTGTGTAAGCACAGCAGCTAAACTGTGGGACTGGCTGTGTCAGGCTGAATAGGATAAGATGACTGCATCTTGGAGAAAGGGCTGCACTGCGGGGATAATTCTGCATTCTGAAAACCAGGGTGATCAACAGATAACTTCAGTGTAAGGAATAAAATTCTCATCATGGCTGTGCTGACCCAGCCATGGTGAGTAAGCAATCAGAAAACTAAGGGACATGCCGTCTCCACTGCAGAGAAAGTCATTTGTCAACAGCATTTGCATGAATTGATGTCATCTGCAAAAACACAGCATTACCTCACATGGAAAAGGTTTGCCATCAATTGTATGCTCCGATCCCTGGCTGTGCTTTGTCCCCCAGTGAAAGTGAAACTGCTTCAGCCGAAACGGATTCTCAAAGGGACCACCACTGATTGCTAGGCAGGAGACAGGAGGGGAGGGGGGAAGTTTAGCATGCTGGCTTTTTAGCCTTCTGCTAACAAAATTTAACTGCTGTCAATACAATAGTGGAAAAAAAGGCAGCAGCATCTCCTAGTTGCCAATATCAAACATGTGCATCATTCGGATATTTAGGACTGGATTCTTGATGGAAAGCACCTAAATTAATGTAAAAATGTAAATTAAAAAACATTCACTACCTCTACAGAATTCTGTAGGTTTATTTGTTTGCTTGTTTGTTTTTAAGAGTATATTTGACATATAAAGATGTGGTAGCTCTGATATGGTTATGACTTTCCAGTTAAACACAATAAATCCAAGCTGAATATTAAAAAATAAATCACAATTTGAAACTCATGTATCTAAAATATTTTCAGCAGTGCAACTTGAGATTTTGTGCAAGAGAGTGTAGGCAATTCAGCTAAGTATTTCCTCTTTAGAGTGTCTTTCCTTCCTGTGGAGGGTATCTATATTCTGTTTCCTTTAAATACCTGATCCCATAAAAGAGGTAATATTATAGCCTGTACTTTATATGACACCATTCAGAATCTCAAGTCACCTTATCAAGGTGATGGAGGAAATGCTACAGAGAAACTTCATACATCATTTAGAAATAACACTTGAGAACAAATTAATGTTTAAGATACCACCTACAGAAGATACTTCATCAACAGCATCAGTAATCCTGTAATTTTGTATGGCACTAAATCAAATAAATTTGGCTCAACAGACATGAAAACCCAATCAAAGTCAATATAAAGAAAATTAAAGCTACATTTAGTGTCTGTAGAGCATTTAGTGTAGTCCATAACATTTTAAGAAAATTAAACCTGGGGCTTGCACAGAGTTACCACATGTACACAGTTCCAGCTGGCCTTCATGCAGGAAGCTGACCTTGCCAAAGCAAAGATTTTAGTATTAAGAATATAAAGGCCTCTTCGTGTGTTTTTCTGAACTCAGCAATGGAATGCATTACTTGTCTCAAGCATTATTTTAAGCTATGGTGGGTTACTGTCAAAATTATGTTGTGTCATTTATGCAGAGCTGTGAGTCACTAGATCTATTTCAACACAACTAAAAACACTTTAAAGCACGTTTTCCACTCCTAGCAGTCTTTTTCCTTGAAAGTGTTATTAAAACAAGGCATGTGCTTAGTGTAGAAAGGGCAGACGTCTTCATTCCTGCACGTGCTCCGAGTCTGTATCTCTAAATGCAGAGTAACAGATGATGTTCTTAAACTTATAAAGCTGAATAAAGTTCACAGTTAAGTAGATACAGTTTAGCTTAGAATTGCACAAAAGCAGTTGGCAAGCAAAGATAATTCTCTTTGTAGGGTGACATGATTAATGGATCTGTGTGTTAAGACTTTGAAAATTGCACATCCAGTCTTCTCTTCAAACTCAGTAAAGATGCTTTAAAACCTGACCATTCAGTTGGGTAGTTTCTTAAATTTCTTCCAGACGAGGCATTTTAAAACAAAATGGCTAGAATTAAGACCTCCCCAGCCCTTATTTCAAAGGATTACCATCACAGACAAGTCACTTCACAGAAAAAGTCACTTGTTTGGAGTATCTAGGATATCCTATTTAGCTAGAATCAGTACACACAGCCAAATGGAAGATGAAATAGGGTGACAGGTTAAGTTGTTCAGTGTTTTGGTTTTTTTAGGTGTTTTTTTTTTGTTTTGTTTTAATGGACTCATTCCATTTATCAACTACTTCATCTCCATTTGAATGCTCTTCCTCTACCCTCCAGATGTAAAAGCAAGTTCTACCATGGAAGTAGAATTAACAGAAGTAATAAATCACTTAAAAAAATGTATATTCTCTGCCAAGAGCTAAGAGACGAGAATAATATAAAACTGAAGATAGTGCAACATCCACAAGTTGCTACAAACTCAGAATTAGCTGAAGATTTCATAATTTCTGAAGAAACTGAACTGCTATGAGGCAGGGAGGAAAGAAGAAAACAATGCAAGGTAACAGTGACTGGTCCAGATGCAGTTTGGTGTAGTAGACTATGATTATGATGACTATGCTGTATACACCGATGTCTGCTAACCCTCTTCTCTTCCCTACCCTTGTGGATGGAAACTGGGCTGTGAGCCAGACAGAGCTGGCACGTGTGTTAGCATCTTTGATTTGGATGATCATAGAAACAGGCCAGTGAGGAGTGTACATAACTATTCTGCACGCTTGATGTGGTCTAAGGGTGCTGGAGAAATGCATGCCCTGTCTCACAAACAGACAATCCTCATTTAAAAGGGAAGCACTGCAAGCAAACTGCTGATTTTCCTGATGCAGAAACACAGTTCTGCAGTACAATATTGCATTGCTAGAGAGACTTAAGTGAAGACAAAAAAAAATGTGAGGCTCAAGACAAAATATAAAGGGCTCTGATCATATGCCTCATTCTAAACTGAAATCTTACATCACATAAAATACACTGTATAGGATGTACTTAATTGTTTTCCTCACTCAGTCACAAGGCATACAGAGTTAGTTGGCTGTGTTGTCTCACCTGTTTTGTCATCAGTATCTTCAAACTCAACCATAACTGAGTGGCCATTGTTGGAGATGTTGAGAGATGAACATGATTCATAAGAAACAATAAGCGGCTTCAGGTTAGGGTCATAAACGGCTCTTGCAGAAACTATATCAATAGGCGACTGGCGGTTCCCTTGGGCAATAGGATAAGATTTGTGCCACTCTGAAGGTCCTTCAAAAAGAAAGGAAGGCACCATTATTTTCTTCCCACTATACACAAAATAATCACTACGTGAGACTTGAAGTACAGCTTGCTGAGCAGGAGTGACTTGAAAGTTTGGTACCCGAGAAATTAACTTAAATTCTAAGTTGGTGAGGTTTTGTTAGCACAAATAAAGGCTGCAGCAAGATGAGGGATTCAAATATATTGTACAAAATACAGTGAGGAAATCACAGCATATCAACAGACTGCTCTATCTTCAGTTACTTGTGCCACTAATTTTCTGCGGCATTTGTAATTACATTGCTAAGGTGTCTGGAGACCTCCCAGGGTGGGTGCAGGCATAAACACACTTGCATGCACACATACACTCCCCCAAGGAAACAGCATTTAATTCTTCCTGGGAAAGATAGTATAAAGCTCCGGTGATTCAAATTAGATGCAGATGACTCAATCTCTTAGCTACTGACTCTGCAGTTATTTTTAAAACCATTTTATAACTGCGGTAAGTCTTTATGTCAGCTTCATTCTTCACTCATGCCCATTATGGTATCTCTCTACCCTGAGAGAAGGGTATAGTGTGATAATTAACATTTTTTGGACTTTCTGACCTGAACAGAGTGGGGAAAAAGACCGATTTAATAACATATCTCTGCTGCCAGAGCGGGAACATTCTTATGCTGTTTGAAATAACAAAACCTTATCTGTATCAAAAAATCACTTATTCTTACCACATTTTTCCCCTACTTTGATCTAGTATAAGAAGAAGCAAGGAAATTCTTCTAATGCTTATGTTCAAGGAGTATTAACAGTAACGATTTTACTTTAAGATACCCAAGAAGCACATTTTTAAGTGTAGCATTCTCACAGACTTTCACAAGGGGAAACTTATTTTATTGAAGCACAGGTATTTACCGTCCTTGAGTTTATGTAACAAAAACAGTGATCTATTTTACTCTTACTTGTCTTTGGCATTTTCTGAAGAGCTAAGCTTATAAAATAATATTTTTTCTCAGCCTGCCTATGAAGCAGATTTAGGATTTAAAGGCTGTTACACAAGCTTAGGCAATATAATTTGTCTCTTACGAGCTTTGTAAGAAAACACGTGGTTTTGTTACTACTAGTTGTATGTCCAAACACATGACACTATCTACTAGCACTAGCCAGCTTCACTTAGCATTCGAACTTGCTTTTAGACTCACAGAAACTAAAATAATTGCTTTTAAGAGACAGACTTGCTCCTGAAGGTTATACAAAAGACTCTTGTTGGATACTCAGCAACTAAAATAATTGCTGTCAAAGGAGAAGGACTGGTGTAGGTTATAGAGAAGATTGTCTTATTGGACAACACCAGTCAGTCATCCATCCTTCTCTGTAAAGGATACAGTCGCTATAAAACACTATTGTAGGAATCTTTCAGTAACTTCACATGTCCTCTCGCTCTGTGACACACATTCTTGGAGGTGGGAAGCAAAGGAGGATGATTAAATTAAAAACTGTCAAATCAGAAAGCATAAGTTGTTCTATATGAGGTCTGATACTGAACTGTACAATTTATTTGTGTTCTAGAAACATATAATGTATACCTTATTTTATTCACCTCTGTGGAAGCCTAGATATCACATTTCAACAGCTGCACAGGATCAGAAGATATATTACTGCTCTACTAAATCTTCTTTACTTAAAAGAGTTGCTTTTGGAATGACAGACACGGTTAATCCTTTTCATAACAGCTTTCTGGAAGGAGACCCATCTGTAATATCTGCAGCCTGAAAGAAAACCACTCAGTACTGCTTCCCTCAGTTTTGGAACACTGATTGCAACACTGAAAGGCAGCAGGCATAAGTTTGAGCATCTTCTGGTCCCACTTTTCAGGCACTATTTATTATCAATAAAGTCATTCATTACCTGCTGTATATACTTGATGCTTGCAGACATCAAAACGCAGGCAGCTCTGCCGGGCTCAGGCAACAGATCTAGAAAGAAAACGAGTGGGGGAAGATAGAGAGAGGCAGCACGGAAATGCTAAAACCTACCGTCATCCTGCCCATATCCCCAACTGTTGTGGCCAGTCATCACAGGGGGCTGCACCCTGCTTTACTCCCAGCTCTCCGATCAGGGCACTGCTGCTCACCTGCCTTTATAGCGGCTCACCGTGGGATAGGGTCAGCCCCTTAAAGATACAGAGCAACCAAAGCGACTCCTGCAGGACAGGGAGAGCTCCCGCCTTCCTCCTGCTCCCAACTTTGCTGCTTCTGCTCCTGCTGCTGCTCACTCTTTCTGCAAACTCAGCACAGGAGAAGGAAAATGTAAAACTGAGATAACTGAGGTCCCATGACTTAGAGAGGAACCAAGACTGTCCAGGTGACATGGGGATCAAATTTAGGAAAAAATAGTACTATTTTCCCATTCTACACCATAAGGCAGCAAAAGCCATAACCTGCTCTGAGCATCAGGGCACGTAACATGTGCAGACTGTAATGGGAACTGCCCTTCTCACCTCTGAGTTCTGCAGAGGGAAACATCACCTAGTTCCTGCCTCTCTTTTCTTAAACACTCTTTCCAGCTGCACAAAAAATGAATGGTGTTTCCCCCTGATTTGTAATTAAAACTTCAGAATCAGTGCTTAGATGAGGTGGAGAACATTCTCATCTCAGAAAAAAATTACTTGCGCTATTTTTAAATAACATAAAAATCACACTAATTAAGGATAAATTGGCAATCTTTTTTTTTCTTTGTAACTCTAAAGAAACTTTTTAAAAAGACAAAAATAAAAGTGTGATTATATTAAGGAACAGAACATAGCAGACTCTAGAGAAAGGAGCTGATCTGCAAAGCCTCAGTTATCTGGTAGGACCCAGTAGCTGCCTGCACCCTGCTAAACCCATGAAGAGGCTACAATGAGATACCAAATCTGCAGCTGTAAAATGTCTTTGTGGCAAGCACAATGTCTCCTTTGTAGTAATTTTGTCAGATCTGAATATCTGATGCTGTCCTTCAAGGCTACAACATATTGATTTTCACAAAGACAATAGCAATCACGAATCAAGTATTCTTCCATTATGCAATCAAGAAAATGGAAGGAAAAAATCAATGAAAGCATTTTATGCAACTTTTATGTTGTGGTACTGCCTTGTAAGAATGAATGTCCTTTTTCAGGAGTTCTTCATAGGATTCAGCTATAAAACCCTTGAGATTCACTAATGCAAGCTAAATCACTCAATAAGGGATGTAAACTGCCACAGCGTAGTTCTGCAAGGACTTACTCGGGTCAACATCTCAATTTATTTCTGTTAAACTACTGTGGTCTACTCAGGTCCCCACATAACCCTGACAGGCACCAGGCACTGACACTGCAGCTATGTCTGTGGCCAAAGAGTCTGCACACACAGGTCCTCCTGGTGACACAAATACTGGAGTTGTACCACAGCGCTGCTACTGGGTTAAAATACTTTGCTGCTTAGGACGACGAATGATCTGTGCGAAGTTGTGATGCTTTCATTCTTAGTCTTGTGTGGCTCTGTGCTGCGTTTATAGACAGGGAAGCCAAATGTAGACAGACTCAGTCAGATAGAAATAGTCAGGAAAGCTGTTCTAGACCATGGGAAAAAGTACAAAAAATACCAACTTACCAGTGAAAAGAAGAAACAGAAGAGGAATTTTGTATATTAAAAAAAGCAGGCTATAGATTAGGGAAAATCATATGCAAGAGAGAGAATAGTGAACAACTGTTTTAAAGAGAAACTTGAAAACTGAGGCTCAGATCTTGCTCACAGGGCATAGTGCCATTGAAGTGGCCCAATGTCTACATGCATTTGACACCACCCACCACTTTAGCTTTTACCTTCCTGCATTCAGAAACACACGGAAGTCCACATAAGTGGACTACAAAGGCAGGGCACAGGAAGATCTCCAAGACAAGAGAAAACATACTGAAGACATGGCAGGAAGTGGACTCCACAGCATGGGGTTTAAATGGTTGGATTTAGAAACAGTGAAAAAGGGCAGTGACAGTACCTGAGAGGAAAGACAAAAATAGGTTCAGTAACATTTTAGCTATAAATGATAGCCAGTGTGTATAGGGCAGTTTAATGTGCTCCCCCATCCAATCAGCCTTCTTTCTTTTTGAGGAAAAGACTAAGTTTTCTTTAAAGCTAGAGTAATACTGCTGCTTATACAAATAGCACATTATTCTGTAACCCTGATGCCTCTTGGTACTGACTGCCTCTAAGAATGGATTTTCACCGATTCTGTCCTCAAAGTACCATTATCACTTCAAAAGTTACAGTAGCAATCTAATTTTGATCTCAGTTTTATTAGCTTACGTCAAGGATAATTACATCACACTCAGTGAAAACACTTCCGTTTTCCCATCCCTCTGCATGGAATAATTACCTTTATTATTTAATTTTAGCTCCCTTTATTAAAATTGCTCTCTAAGAACCAACCATTACGGTTAGAAAGCTTCAGGTAAGATTGGAATGCCAAATAGAAGTTGCACATATTAAGCTTTGCAGGTTTGAAGAAACTGGATTTTGAATTTCTAAGGCAAGTTGTCTCTGTAATACAGAACTGGAGTACTTGGGAGGTATTCGCACAAGGAGATCATGTCATTTGAGGATAATGCTTTTTGTAGATATTACTGCATCACCGTAGAGGGGCAGGGCTGCATTTTAGGAGACATAAAACGGAAGAAAAGTTTTTTTGTTCCAAGGTAAATGGCTAAATGGCACTCCAAGTGTATTTGCTTAAGTAACTTGGCAATTATTTTTCCTGAGCATCTTTAATAATGGCAACATAGACTTGAGAACAAGGTGTCATGTGCCTTCTTTATTTAATGCATATGAGTGTAACTGATGTGTCATTGCCTATTAACAAAAATATGCCAGGAATACAGTCAGTTTGGGTACAGGCTGCTCACTTGGGAGCCTTTGAAGTACAATAGGTAGGAGCAGATTAAATGTTAAAACATTCATCACTCCAGAGCTTGCCTACACCTCAGGTTCTTGAAAGAGTATCTTGTTTACCCAGGCAGCTCATCTCTCTTCTTACATTGCCACTACTAATGCTGGCAGTTTCCAAATGGGAGTTACACTAAGGGGACATCTGTTCTTTATGTGTGCGTTAAAGTAATTTATAATGAATCCAGAAAGCACTTCACAAGGTAAATATAAACAGCAGGGTATACTGCCAATGCTAAACATTAAAAACCAGAATCATTCCAGATTTTTTTCATTTTTTTTTAGTATTTTATTTAAAAAGTGACTGCCTACACTTGTTGATTGACAACAGAAGTTTCAAATTTTATATTCTCAAGTTTTTCTTTGCAAACACAAAATGTGATAACCATATATGGAGATTCTCATGCATCTAATGTAACTTCAGGAGTTTCTCCCACAGCTACATAATGAGATTAATGAGATTTCTAAGGGAAAGAACTCAACATTTATTTATTGGGAACCTCTTCCTGGCATAAGGGGAAAAACACCCCAACAGTCCTTAAATAAAGAAAGGGTTGAGAACAAAAGGATAAAAAGGATAAGCGTAAAAGTAACAGTCAATTTTGCAAGACAAAAAATCTGAATAAAATATGGGCCAAGAGGAAAGAAGGCATTTATTTGGAACATGAGGTGAGGCAGAAAAGGAGGAACGGGGTACCTGGCTCCCTAGGAGTTTCCCAGCCTTCATATGTCATTTTCTACAATGACTTGTCTTTTGACTTTTAAAGCTATGTACACTTGGCTGCTTTATAACCAGAAATGGAGACTTAATTCTGGAACAAAATCTGAAATAGTAATTCTTATAATTTATGGTTTGTCCAGTTGAAACTGTATAATTGTAGCAGATAGCAAGAACAGAACGAGATAACTTTTGATTTTGGTAAACAGAACATTCCTAGGAATATTGCAACAGACACTGAAATTACAACAGAAGGAAGGATTTACTGTGACGTAACAAACACAAAGCCTGAGAAAAAATTAACTTTGGAGGAGATACTGTATATGGGAAAACAAAAGAGGAAGCACTATATTGTATTACAAGGTCATCTGCAAGGTATAAAGCACTAAATTATAATTGCAGTGTTATATAATTTATTTCAGTAGATATATAGCAAATTAAACTTACTAAAGAGAAGCAGACTAAAAGGGTAACAGAATAAATACCCTTCCATGGGCTAACAAACCAGCTGGAACAAAGCACTCATTTTAGGACCTCTTTTGTTGTTGAAACAGTGCCAGAGATGTTGGTCGAAGTTTTTTAAATGTGAAAGTTTTGGGGTTTTTTACACTTTCATAGAACAATCTATATTGATTCTAAATAGAAAGATTTTTACAAGAAAAGTACATAAATGCAACATTTCAGATTTTACTGTCTCATTACTACATAAAACTAATAATGTACACCATCTCTGGAGAACACATCTGAATTTATTTTTCTGAATGCAGGTATCTGCAGGGCTTCTGACTCAGACCAGTGTAAAATGCTTCAGAACTTCATACCAGGAAGGGGGCTGAGAGATTAAAGGAGCTAACCATTTTGAATATAAATTCTGGGAATGTCACTTATATTTAGAAATCTATTCCTGAAGGAAACAGCATCCTGTGTCTGTATGCTCGTGACTACCATCAACCTCAGCATCCCCAAGGCACCAAGGCCTGCTTTCACAGCACACGTTTTTTCCACGGTTTCCCAAATTGCCGTCTCAATTCCACTGAACGACGGCGGCTCTTCTCACATCCCCGAGGATCTGCTAAAATCTCCGTGTCAACAGCAACGCTTTCACCCGTTTACACAAGACTCAAGCAACACCCGTGACTCACAGAAGCAGC